TTATAGCTGCTTTTGAATTTGGTGCTTCAGTAAGGAAGCTTATGTGTAGCTACATAAAAGAAGGTTCTATTTTGATGAGAAATGAATCTCTTATTTTGGGAATGTTATTTTTCCTGTTGACTTTTAGAGGGAGGGAAAAGCGGAGACTTTGGTTGCTGAGGGATGGGGGAAGTGTCAGCCTCCAATTGTAAGGAAGGACTACGCTGTTTCCTTACACTTGCTAAGGGGTGTATGTCATCAGCCCTCAGTAGAGCCTCAATGCCAGGGTAGCCCCACTACTTCCACCCAACCTCCCCTCTCAGGATCCAGCCTTTCCGTTCACTCCAGAAAATCTGCTCCTTGGCTGAGACCCCGGGATATCTCCATCAAACAGGCTTCTCCTGCTTATGGAAGCAAGTGGGATTAAAGCATATGAACAGGACCCATTGTTTGTAAACAATAATGCAGTTGTCTGTGTGACCCTCCTCCAGGATGAAGAGAGATCTTCCAGGAAGGGGAACTTCTACCACAAGCAAGATCACAAAATGACTCTAAATTTTTTCCTTAAAATTATTCCTTGCCTGGAAATTATACTTTCTTATTTGCTGTAATTTCATTGAAACATATGAATAATTCTGACTCTTTGGGTCCCGGGCAATACTTGGGTGCCACAGTGTACTTACCCTTTCTGCCCCCAGGGAGACAATGCAAAAGCCAGACCGATTCTATAAAGTAGAGCCGTGATTTTGCTCAGACTAGCTGAGCTCCTTTGCGAGCAAACACCCTCTCATCTGCATCCAACATGTTTAGAACTTGAGAGGCTGGATTGCTTGGACAATTGAGGAATCCCCCTCATCATTAGTCACCTTTAGACAAAGGGCAAGGACAGTACAGGTAGATCCTGGCACCTGGGCCCTGCATTTGACTCGGAATCCAAGACAGGGAAACTGCGTAGACTGTCTCTGTTTCTTGCTGACTTGCAATTTCTATCTTATTGAAATAGGAAATTAAAGGAAATGCAGTCTTGCCCCTTGAGAGGAGGTGTTCCTATTTTGGCAGGCCATGAAATATGTCCTATTGGAAACTGAAACTCAACAAATAAGACACTTTCATTTAATGGTATTATACACCAACGTTTATTGAGTCCTCTGTACATTACAGGCTTATATTCCTTCCCAAAGCATCTCTTCCTTTTGATTTCCCGTTTCTGTTAATGGCACCATCACTTTTCCTGTTCCTTGGGTGAAATTAAACAACAGCACGTTTTGAAATGCAAAAATTCAGAGAAAGGATTTTTAAGAGAGCCAGTAGGTAGACTTATTTGAGTTTTAATTTGCCTCTTTTTTTTTTCCTTTGTCAATCACTTTTTGTTTCTTCCCCTCTCATTTCCCTTTTACATCCTTTCTCTTGCCTTTCAGTCCTACTCTTTTAATAAATTCTTTGCGTGAGGAGGAGGGCTTACTTAAAGCTCCATCTCTGAAAGTCATTTCTATGAAACAGTACTGGCGAGTTCTGGTTTTGTTTATTTTTCAGACAGAATTAAGGTTTTGTGCAAGTCCTCTTTATGTACTGCAGCTTGACACAAAAGGAAACTGGCATTTCTTCTCCTTTTTACTTCTCTGTTTTTCTGGCCTGCTGATGTGCAAACAGTTTACACCAGGAATATTCAGTAGCTAATTGGTTAAGACCTCTGTTTTCTGGGTTCTAGTTGGTTGATACCTTGATGTTTTTGGGGGCTCTGAGGCGGAAGAATGCTGAGTTAGCCTTTCATGAACAAAAGTCGTGGTAAACAATTTAAGAATACTATGCAAGGGGAAAATCAATTTTAAAATTTGCAGAATTCGGTTTCTCTAATACATCGACCTTTGCTATTGTCAGGTTCGCAAGCAGTCTGTCAAATACGCACACACAGTTTTGACTGAGTTGTAATCAGTGTGCAGATGTATTTTTACATGCTGCTTTTATTCTATTTGTTGTAAACACTTAACCATCTTGCCACATAATCTTATTTTTTAACAATTGAGCATCTATGTTTAACTATGTTAAAAAAAAGAGAGTGAGGCAGTATGTTAGGTATATGTGGAATCTGGAATCAGTTAGACCAGGGTTCAAGTCTTGGCTATACCATTTGCTCACTTTGTGCCTTGGGCAAGTTACTCAACATCTTTGAGCCTTGGTTTCCTCAAATTTTAAACTGAGACTAATTAACAACCTACTATCAGGGTTGTAAATTTTAAATGAGATAGGAAGGTAACATGCTGAATGAATAACACAATTCTTGGCATATAATAAGCATGAAGTAAATGCTGGTGAATAAGATGCGGATAGGATTGGTTATGGCGATGTGCCCACGACCTCAAGAAGTTTAATAGAGATGTAAGTAAAAACACATGCAATAAGGAACGATAGAAGCTGTGATACACATCCATACAGGGTTCACTGACGGTCCCAAGGAAAGCATAGTTAATTTCACTTGGGGATGAAAGTGTAGAAAATGAAGAGAAGATTTGCAAAGAGGCAGTGAGTAAGCTCAGTTCTGAAGGCAAACTGGCACCGCCCAGATACGACCTCCGCTAATTTTAAAGACGCGTGAGCAAAGCCCAGCCAACGTTCTCAGCTGGGTTGTGAAGGATGAGAAGGATTTTAACCAAGTGGAAATGAAGGAAGGATATTCCAAGTAGAGGCTGCACTTCTACCTGTGACACAAGCAAGGACGTTAGGTTATGGGTGTTTATTCAGGAAATGAATGTGTTTATGTTGCATCTAACGCATGAGAAGCACAGGCCTGCAGGTGGGGCAGGTGCAAGAAATGAGCCTCCAAAGCTTGCAGAGGCCATAGGGGCCTCTCTCTGAGAACTTGGAACTCCACCAGGCAGGCGATGGCAGTGCCATACTTGTAAGACCCATCTGGGGGCAGAGTGGAGCCTGGATGGGAGAGGACAAAGCTGGAGGCAAGGAACAAGTCTACTGCAGTGGTCCAGACCAGAGTGGGTAGACTGAGCTATCACGAAAATACTCCACCGTACAACATAAACACCCTCTCGTTTGTGGGCACTTAATTTTGCACTCTTGCTGTTCTGAATATTGCTATGCTATGCGTCTTTATCTATAGAAATACATTTCCTTCAGATATTTCCTTTAAGGTGAAAGGCACAAACGTCTGTGTGACTCTTGACAGGAACACGTCACCATTTGTTTCAAATGGGTTTTCTAAGTGATATTTTCACCAGGGTCCAAGCCTGTGTGGCCTTTACAGCACATTGGTAACACTGGGTCCTGCCATTCATTTCTTTGTGATTTTAGAAGATGAAAAGCCATTGTTTTCATTTGCCTTTTCTTGATATCTACAGAAGTTAAATGTTTTCCCCCATTTGCCGTCTAATTACGTGTCCTCACTCATGAATTGCATGTCCCATCCTTTGCCCAGTTGATAAGCAATTGTGTTAAACCCTTTTTTTGGACTGGCCTCTCTTCTGGCAACTCTCCACATGCACATTTCCCTACAGGCTCTCTTTCTAATTTCTTTTCTCTTTGATCTATTGAAACCAAATCCTTTTTCTAGCTCCATATTACAATAGACATAACAATTCTAATTGCTCTATTGATTCATGGCCACTACAGTGGTAGGCACATTAGGAAGAACAAGATTTTGCTGTGAGAGACCAGAGTTTAAAAGGCTGGCTTCATGCTTTCTAGCTGTGTGGTTCAGTGCAAGCATCTTAATCTCTCTGACCTGATTTGCTTACCTGTGAAATGGGGGTGTGGACTATGTTGGGATGGATTAGAAACTGTATTTGGCCATAGCAGCAGAGACCCAAGTGCAGTGGCTTAAAAAGTAGTAGTCTGTTCTTTTATGTTATTTTGGAAGTGAGGAGCCCAGGGCTGGTATAGCAGTTCTGTAAGTCTTCCCCACTGCCTGCAGTGCAGTTGTGGGATTAAATTCTGAGATTGGAGAGCATTATTCCTTAAAGACTAGGGAAGAAATTGGATAGTGGCAAATTTGAACCTATTCACTTACTCCTTGAACAAATATTTGTTAAGTCCTGTTGTATGCTGAACTCCAAGATTTTTCTAATGGGAAATATACCTGCTAAGTCAAGTGAGAGAGTCTTGGTTATTATATTGATGTCTAAATCATGGAGAATGATTATCTCCTTCTTTAGGAAGACCCAGACGTGGAATCTCTGAATTCCAAGGTGACTCTGTGGCCTTCTACACACTTGCCCCAAGTATCCTTACAAAAGTCTACCATCCCAGAAAAGGCATCCCTGTAGACTCGCCAAATACAGTCCCACAAATAGGCTCTCAGGGGTATTCAAAGGATAAATTAATATCTTCAACACTTGATCAAGTAAGTAATGGATGTCTCCTTTTTGGACCTATGCATTCTGTTGGTTAGAAGAATCAGCTTCATGCCAGTCAGTTTTTTTTTTTAAGTGATGGCCACGTGCTTCATACAGATGGTTCCGGAGATCACAAGACCGTTTCACAGTGAGGTCTCACAGATCCCCTGCCAGCTCAGAGAACATAGAATCCTCTGGTTCCCCTGATATGTTTTATTATTATTATTACCAGTAGAATCATCACAATTCTATTTCTGTCAAAATGTATTCATTACAAATGAAATTTCTGTTCAGATCTCATAGTTCATGCCTGAAAGCAAAGATATTAGAATTAATGAGCATTTTTGCTGATGAGAAGAAAAATCACTGAAGGGTGATTGGACTTTAGCCTTTTAATGAGTCTGATATTCTTCTTTCATTAGGGTTGACAAGGGCATATCTGGCTCCCGTATGCCGTGTGCCATGGTTTTAAAATATACTTTATGTGACAAGAAGCTAGGTTTTCTTTCACGATAGAATAGCCCAGTGTCATGAGCACATGTAAACAGAATTCTATGGAATGGTGAATCTGGGCAGAGGGAGGGTGACAATGTTAACCTTATTAGCAGGTGATGGAAGGGCTTGGAATGGTTTATTAAAATGTTGGTATAATTTGATTTTAATTTTTCTTTCCTGCAGTGGGCAACAAGGATTTACAAAGAGCAAGCCCACTCTTGAAAGAAGTGAAGATGCGCCCTGAAGACAACCAGGGCATGCAATACATCCTTGAACAGATTCTACCAGTGGTGCAAATGGCTGTGAATGGGCACTCGAACTGGCTGTAACAGAGAGGGGGTCAAGTGTTGACTCAGTGGAAGCATGATTCAGAGACTTCAGGGTTTTGGAAGCTTGGGCTTTCTTATTGATGGAGTTGGAAAGAGTTTTCAACTAAAGATAGGCATTCAATTTTTTGATCTGCAAGGCCATGAAGTTACAGAAACCAGGGTAAAGAACTGAGGGATCAGTTTTAACAGGTTCTGTCACCATTTTGTGGACATACTCTTCAGACGGAGAGGATGCAGGGCTGACGAGGGCGTAGTTAGGGGTAGGGTACCTCTTAGGTTTGCTAGCATATTTCTGTTAGATGGGTACAGACTTCCATGTGAACCTAATTGGCCTCTCTGAACTGGTTTTATTCACACTCCACAAAACGGGTGGCTTTTTTTTTTAAGTTTTCCCCCAACACCAACCAATGCTTCAATTCTCTGGACATCAACTGAGACATCACCTACAATTCAATTTAATCTGACACTAAGTACCCAGATTAAGGGCTCCATCTTATAAGACTGCTTCCATGCCAGTCACAGGTCTCAGATTGACACGTGTATTTCTGACCAACTGGCTATAAAATCTGGGACTCCCTCTTCAGGTTTGATAATTTGCCAAAACACATCACAAACCTTAGGAAAACATTTAACTGATGTTTACTGGTCTAATAGAAAGGACATTATGAAAGATACAAATGAACAGCCAAATGAAGAGGTACACAGGGTGAGATCCAGAAGGGCCTTTAGCGCTGGAGCTTCTGTCCTGCAGAAGTGGGGTGTGCCACTTTCCCAGCACAAGGGTGCATTCATCAACCTAGAAACTCTTTAAACCCTTGCTTTATGTAGGCATGATGGGTTAAATCATTGGCATTAGTGATTGGACTCAATCTCTAGCCCTTCTCCCCTCCCCAGAAGTTAGGAGATGGGACTGAAAGTTCTAAGTTTCTCATTAAGGCTTGGTCTTTCTTATGAACAACCTCCATCCTGAAGCTATCCAGGGGCCCCCAGAACCAGTCATCTCACTAGCGTGTGAAAGACACTCATTACTCTGAGGTTTTCAAGGGCTTTATTTTAGGAGATGTATGCCAGGAATCTAGGACAGAGACCAAATATTTATTTATTTTATTATATCACAGCCTCATTGGCCAAGGGACCGGGAAAAGTGGGGCTGAAGTGGGGAGTCACTTGGGGAAGATGCCATCTGCATCTGAACACAGGGTCACAGGCTAGGCTGTGCTGTTAGGGTCGGATTGTCACACCCATGTCCTCACCATCTTTTACCATCAGTGTCCACCATCTGGTGTGTGCCAAGCATTTTCTGGGGGTAGTGTGATGGGTACATAGGTCACCTAGACATTTTTTGCATCACCAAGGAGCTCACAATATCAGAGGAAATGCATGTAAGCAACTGTCCATAATACATTATGGAAAGCCACATTCAGAGGCTTGGGAAAGTGCTACGGGGACACAGAGGAGAGAGCCATTAATTATGCCAAGAGGTTCGGGTAAGTTGTCCCAGGGGACATTGCATTGTCAGCTGGGCTGTGAAAGATAAGCCAGGATATTATCAATGGAGACGAAGGAAGTATATTCCAGGTAGAGGATACAACATAAGCAGAGACCTTGAGTTGCAGGTGTTTATTCAGGGAACAGTGAACTGATCAGCATGGTTATAGCATAAGGAGTCTAACCAGGAGCCATCAGATTGGCCAACACTAATCAAACATTTATTAAATGCCAGGGACTTTTTTTGTGCATGTGAACTTATTTAATCCTAAGAACAATCCCAGGAGGTAGTTCCCTATGTTTTCCAGAGGAAGACATAGAGGCTTAGAGAGGAAATTGCCTAAGGTTGTTAATAACCTGGAGCCAGGACTGCAGAGCAAACAGGATGACTACGATTGACCAGCAAGGCAGAGCGTAGGCCTGTCTATCTCAAGCCACAGGCTGATTTTTAGTCTTTGTCCGTCTCAGAGTCCCCTGATGCAGGTTGTGCAGCAAGATCCATTTGGATGCAGGAAGCATATTCTCAAATTTTCTATTTGCTTTGGTCTCATCTTTTGATGATAACTTCTAGTGTGTTTCATAGTGTACCCACCGTGTTAGTGCATTAGAGCAGGTATATAATTTATAAATATATAGGCATGTATATTTTGGGGGGTTGTACTAAAATATTTTTTCCTGGAAGAACTGCAAATCAAACAAGTTTAAAGACCAATAGTCGAGGCCAGTCATTTTCAAGTGTGGTTTCTTGACCAGCAGCAACAGTGTCACCTGGAAATTGGATAGAAATGTGAGTTTCCAGGCCTTATTACAGACTTAGTGGATCAAATACTCTGAGAGTCGGGGCCAGCAATCTGTGTTTTCATGAGTCACCCAGGTCAGACTCATGGGTCTAGGCAATACAGTTTTTAAGGTGGAAAGTGAGATGGCTTAATTTGAGTTCTAGAAAGATCATTCTAGTTGGATTGAAAACAATGAGATACTAGAAATGAGGAATTCTTTAAATGAGTATTAAAATGGTCATGGCAAGAATTGAGCAGGGCCTGAGTCAAGTAAGAGAAGTGGATTTCAGAAAAATTTAAAGGGACAAATTAAATATGAATGAATTTGGGGGGTGAGAGAGAAAGATTTAAATCCAGATATGGCACCGAATATTCTAATGTGCAAAATTGCTGTCACCATGTGTGCCTAGGTGTTAGTGTGGGTCACAGCCTATGACAGCAGGAACTGATCCTGAATGACCCTGTTTAATTTGAAGTGTGTGAAGGATATCTAGGAAGAGTAGGCAGTTGGCAACTTAGACTTTCAAATTCAAAAGGGACATGAAATTTGGAAATTTATATGTTAGAGTAAGAACAGCGCATGTGTAGCAATAGGAACACTGGACATGGATAAAATGAGGAAGTTCTATCTTCTCTATATTGAAGGATGAGGCAAAATCATCTATGAAGAATGCAGAAGTGAGATAAGAGCCTAAGTCAGGGACGAGTATTCAGAGCAACAAATGTCGGAAAGAGGAAGAGAAAGCAAAGTATGAAAGAAAACTAACTTACTGGCATGTTGACCTTTGAGACTGCGCTGGGCCCATGGCAGGTGCTTGACGTGTGCTGGCTGCCTGGACAGTCCAGTGAGGGGTTTTTACCCTTTTGGTGCCATAGATTCCTTCTCTAGACTTAAGGAAGGCTACAGATCATTTTTCAGAACAATTTTTTTAAAATACATAAATTAAAAATGAAACTGATTATAAGAAAATATTACCAAAATATCAAAAATAAATTTGGGATACAGCAGAATACATATTATAATATAATAATATATATATATATATACATATAATAATATGTATATATAAACATGGATATATTTATCTTTATTAAACAATGACTCTATCCCTGAGGTTAATAACCCTAAATTCAAAGTTGTGATGAGCATAAGTGATAATTTGAGATACTTCCAACAACTGTTATGTGGTATGAAAATATCGGTGATTTCTGCTGGTGGCAAAAATCACAGATACTGCTAATACTTTTCTGGTTTGCTACCTGCATTCATAATTGAAGTTAAATTCAGTTAAAGGTCCAGGAAAATAAATACATCACCTTTTCCTATGAAAGTAGGCAAACCCCTTGAACTCTATCCGTGGACTCCTTGAGGGTACATAGAGTTAAGAACTCCTGTGTTAAATGAATAGGCAGAAGTATATGCATTTACACACACACACACACACACACACACACACACACACACACAGAGGCACCGATTTGTTTGCAGATAGGAATTCATTTTCTGGATCAATTTTCATATGCCTTGTTCAAGGGAAATCTTGTTTGAAAGACTTAGCTATTTCAGATATTAAGTAATTTGGGTGCATTTAGCTAGCCCCTATGGAGAGTCATGGAGGAGAAATCAGTTTGTCTCTCTTTGAAAACATTAACCTTGCTAACCCATCTTCAGCCAGAAGGCTGGTTAGTGTGTCCTGACAATAATTCTGATGTTTGAGTCAGAAGCGACAGAATGTGTAATCTTACTATCTATAGATCATCTTAGTGTCATCTTACTATCTATAGTTGGCTTTATACATACAAGGATCTCAGCTTAATAAAAATAATTATGTGTTATTTTGCTCATGTTGTTAAAACTTGAAGAAACTTAGAGGTAAGATTCAAATCTCATATTTTGTGGATGAGGAAACCAAGACACAGAAAGAGAAAGAGACCTTGTTCTGGTTACATACTGCTGCAAAACAACCCTCTCTCCCCAGACATAACAGCTTAAATGAAAAATTGTTTGATTTTTTCTTTTCTCACAATTCTGTGGGTCAGGCATTCAGGCAGGACTTAGCTGGGCAATTCTTTTACTCTGCATGGCATTGACTGAGGTCACTCTGTAATATTCGGCTGGTCGATGGGCTGGTCCTCGGTGTGGACGGTTGGAGGACTGTGCTAAATGGAAATGCCATCTGGAATGCTTGCCTGTGTCCTCTCCAGCATGCTGGTTCCTGACCCCCAGAAATTGTCGCAAGAGGCCATCCAGGCCAAAGCTTCAAGACTTTTTGTGATCTCGTTTTAAAAAATCCCAGAATGTCAGTTCTGCTACATTCTATCAAACAAGTCAAGGAGGCCAACTCAGATTAGAAGGGAGGAGCATTAGACTCCACCCTTCTAGGGGAGGAGATCAAAGAAATTGTGACCATCTTTCATCCATCACAGTCCACAAATTGTTTATATTGCTCCCACATGCAAATACATTTACCATCTCCCAAGACCTTCAAAATTCTCACCCCATCAGGCTTAAGCTGAGGTCCAAGAGCTTGTTATATTAATAAGCCTAGAAGTTACATACAGCTATGTTGAATTCGTTGTATTAAGAGACAAGTTATCTTCCTCTTCACAGCCAGCAGATAATGGTGATACAGGAAGAGGATCAACATAACAGACATTCTCCTCCAAACAGGTGAAAATAGGCACAGACCAGGCACTGGTCTAGACCAACTCAGAAATCCAACTACTTACAAAAAAGAACTGGGCACATGTTGCCACTACCTTCATTAGGCTCAGCCTTCCTTCCCGGGAATGATTCTCTGTGGCTCCTCTTTCTCTTCTTTGGGCTCTTGGTTTTCTCCTCTGAGTCATCTTCCCTTTCATGTAACAAATCACCTGTGCTTGCAGCTGAGCGGTTTTCTCAGTCTGCTTCCTTTGTGGGTACAAAGGTCCCTTTTCATTTTGGACTGTCTCCATCCAGCTCACTATTTCTGTGGTACAATTCTCTTAAACCTCTCTTTGTGTGTTTGTGGGATTCTTTTTTTGGGTTAATTCCATTAGAGCAAAATCATACTCACAATTATCTTCCAGATAAGCTCCTCTCTGGCTTATTGTGACATAGGGTACTGTGGGACAAAGCCTTTAAGATTCTTGAAGCCTTTTTATCTAGATGAAGGATTTTACAACATTTTACCCTTAAGACTCTTAACAACTTCTTTCCTACCGAATGGGTCCACTAGGCATTTTCTAAAGATTTTTATCAGTCCTACTAGGCACACCCTTAAATCTTTCTGAGTCTCAACAAAGGTTTTATAGCAACACCCTTAAGATTTTTACCCTGAGACCATTTCTTACTTAGAGATTATTTCACCATCCATAGATCCTGGGAATGGGAAACATTTTTGTTTTGGAAACAGGAAGTCTTGGCTTCTTTGTATTTCCTCTAAAATCTGCTTGAAAATTGTACATGTTTAATCTAATTCCTCTCTATGAGCATTTTATCACATAAAGTCAAATTTGCTACTTTTCATATTGTCTAGAAATCCCTCTAGCCTGATCTAAACATCTCATTAGACACTTTTTCTACTTTCTACATTACTACTGTCAATGGTTTCACTAAACTTTCTGCTATGACATCTTTTCTCCAGGCTCCAAAAATATTTTCTCCTTTGTCCTTTGACACTTTACCAATAGTGTCCTCTGATCTTTTACCTTTCATCTACTTCTCCACTCCAAAGCCAATGCCACATGCTTTAGGATTGTGTTCTAATAGCACCCCACTTCAAGCACAAAATTCAGTTTCAGTTCCCTATTACTGTGTAACAAGTTACTTCAAAATTCAGTAGTGTCAAATGGTGACTATTTTAATATATACATTGTAATTGTTATATAGCTTATAGTTATATAATTTCAAAGCAGTGTTCAGCTTCAAAAATTTGAGAAGAGCTCAGCTGGGTGATTCTTCTGTTCCACATGATGTCAACTGGGTCATTCCTATGCAGAGTGTTTAGCTGACAGAAGGGCTGGTACTGAGAGTTTTACTCAAGCTGGTTAGTGAAATAATTGGGGTTGGAAATAGATCTTCCAGTTCCTACCACAGAGGTCTTTTCTTCTATCCCAGGTAGCCAAATCTATCTTTTAATTTTCTGTGGTAGGAAGATTTCTTATGTTTTCATCCAAACCTCTAGAAAGGAGAGATGTCTTCCTTCCTGGACAGGAACTCATCCTTGATGTCCCTGGATCTATATGTATAGATTCATCCATGGGATGCCCATGGGATGTTCTAGACTGCCATGCTTCTCAGATGTTCCTTGCATGCTGGTAGCACAATTAGGAATAATATGTAAATACAATGTTTTCTCTTATTTTATCCTTACTGTCTGAATGACAAGGTATTCAATTATAACTTATCTTTAATTCACTAAGCCCTACTCTGCCTAACCTGCCCTGCTGATGACAAAGCAAATTTCCTGTATTCACATTTCCCTAACTGTTATAACTGGGGCTACCCAATAGGAACTATAATCCTTGCCTCTAGAAATAGGACTTACAATCAGGAGGTTATCAAGGCTTCAGCATCAGCGGAGCCTGGTAGTAAGTTTTATTCTTCCTTGTACTGAGATTTATAGAACTCCTAGCCCCTTCCTTATTCAACTGACTAAGTCCATAGCCTTGCTCTCAGCAACTATATTGGGTTTCACTTTTGGTTCATTTTGCCTCTGTCTATTTTTAGGGGATGGGGGGTCCATCTTGCTCTCATTCTATCAGATAGAATATGGGGATTATTTAAAAACAGTGATAAAAGCACATCAGAAAGCTTTCAGTGGAAAAGACTAATGTGGATTCTGGGGTAAGAAATCAGTTTGCTTCTTTGCTAAAAAACACAATGAGTGGAGGAAAAATGAATCAAAAGAATAAAAAAGACACGGGACATTATCTCAAGCAAAATGGACATGAAAAACAAACTACAAAGCAAATACTGTGCACAATTATTGACCAAAAAGGAGAGAGGCTAAGATTTGGAAAAACAAATATTTTTCAACACCGACACATATGGAGCCAGAAGGCATTTTAATGTTTTGTGGGGTTTTTTTTTAATATCATCTATGCCAAGAGAATTTATGATCACAACATTTCTTCATGATTCTTGGAATTAATAATATAAAAAAGGAGCTTGGCGTATTAAAATGAAGATTCTGTTTTCCACAGTAGATTCAGCAATAGACACCCCAGAATATCGCAACAAGCAGCGAGGAGAAGTGTGGAGGCTCAGGGGCCTTTACATTTAGATTTCCATCTCTTTTTATAGAACAAATGTATGACAGCCTGTGGGTTGGAATAAGCACATTAGTATGACCAATTTGAGAGTTTAAATGGTCGAGTTACCCAAAGTCTGATGCATAATAAGCTATCTATGAGAATTCTAGCTACTCCTCAAAGCAGAGTTATTTTTCCCTCGGGAAAAACAGTTTTGTGAGGCCACAGTACATCACGCAGTATATACATGCACTGTGTGCCATATAAACCTGTAAGTAGACTATCCCATTGGAGAAGACTGCAGACACGCCAGACCAGGATTCCAAAGAGCGCCTCATTTCCATTTTTTGGCCCAGATGTACAGGAAATACCTTCAACTGATCATATTTTTATTCTGTCACATTTGAGACTGTTCCATAAGGTCACAGAAACGAAGAATTGGAAGGCCTCTTCCTGTGCTGGTGACAACATGGGATTCAGAGAGGTCAAGAGACCTTTCCAAAGTCATTGAGCCAGCCAATGTCAGGGCTGGGTCTAAATCCATTCTCCTCCTTCCTAAATTAGAATTTTCAAACCTCTCCCCACACAAGCAAGCACAGTTTCTGTATTCACTGTTTTTTAAAATCTGGTATGTGTCTTATTATTATTATTATTTTGTATTCATATGGCTTTGGATTTTCATTACGCCTCATTTCCTCATTTATTCATTGATTTGGCAGATATGTGAGTGGCTACAATGTTATATGCTGGGCATGTTCTACGTTCTGGGTGACACAGCCTGTGTGGACTTTATATTCCACTGGGGAAAGGTAGACAATTAATTAATCAAAATAAAATAAAATAAAATAAGGGTCAAGGGTGCCAGGGGTAACTCTTTCATACAGGATGGAGAGAGGGACAACTTCTGTAATATAAGGTGACTTTGAAACAGAGCTCTGAAGGAATCAAGGAGCCAGCAGGGCATATACTTTGTGGATGTACTTACCTGTGTTGTCATACAGGTGCTGCACTTGATTTAATGCTCTGCTGTTGCCATCTTGAGATTCTTAATAATTTTTTAACAAAAGATATCTTCATTTTATAGTGGGCCCAGCAAATTATGTAGCTGGCCCTGGACCAGGGATGAGTCATGTGATGGTTGGAGGAGGAGCACTCCAGGCAGAGGACACAGGGAGAACACAAGGGCTGAAATGAACAAGGAATAGATGGCTGGTCAACTGGAGTAGGGCGGGCAGGAGGGGTGAGTAACGGGAGCTGACATCAGAGAGATGTGGAATGGTGGACCCTTGGAAGGACTTTGGCTGTCACACTGAGTAAGAGGGCAAAGCCACTGAGCAGAGTGGTGACACTGACCTTCACTTTAAAATGATTATTCTGGATTTGAGCTAGTTGGTTATTATGAGTTCAGTGTAAGATTTACCTATTTCCCAAAATAGCAATTTTACGAAAATTAGCTACATAACTGATAAAGAAGCCTTTTTAGTTTTTTAAAATTCAAAATATTAAATAAATATATTAAAAACTTCATGAAAGTAACAAATTACCAACTCTCTATGGTTAGACAGACTAAATTAATTTATTCTTTTTCCTATATAGTTTGAATTTTTAGAACTTTACAGTTATAACTCCTAACCACAAATATTCCTGTCTACAGAAATACCCTTTTCTTTATCTAGTTTCACTAGAAAAGGGACCATACATATCCTAGGGAATGTTTAATCTTCTGCTATACTTCAATTTCCTCCCTTGAGAGAGAGAAGAAAAAAGAAATCATGCACCACTGTTGAATAACACCACTATTTCATGAAAGAAGATGTTTCTGCCAAATGTCCAAGGGAAGGAATCTTACTCAATTCTATTGCTGGTTAGAGCATTTCTTCTGGAAAAATTAAAAATTGTAAGTTTCTGAAATGAAATCTGAAGATTATCCAGTATTAAATATATAGAATTTTAAATATTGATATAGGAGTATGAAAAGCAAATTTGAAGTAGCCAAAGGATAGTCTAGAGTGAAAGAGAGAAGCACTGGGTACACAAAGTGTATTTGTAGTTATGGAAGTACCTTTGTAAGGTGGGGTCCAGTGTATCTGTCAAAGTTGATGGGAGGTTCTTGGAAGAGGAACACATATAATACATGTAGTATCCTTCCAGCACTTTGCAAGACATAGCAATTGCATTGAAAGCAACAGCCAAGACATGGAAACAACCTAAGTGTCCATCAACAGATGACTGGATAAAGAAGTTGTGGTGTATGTATACAATGGAATACTATTCAGCCATAAAAAAGAATAAAATAATGCCATTTGCAGCAACATGGATGGACCTAGAGGTCATCATTCTAAGTAAAGTAAGCCAGAAAGAGAAAGAAAAATACCATATGATATCACTTATATATGGAATCTAAAAAGGAGACACAAATGAACTTATTTACAAAACAGAGACTCAAGACATAGAAAACAAACTTTTGGTTACCAGGGGAGAAAGGAGGTAGGAAGAGATAAATTGCGTTTGAGATTTGCAAATACTAACTACTATATATAAAACAGATAAACAACAGGTTTCTATTGTACAGCACAGGGAACCATATTCAATATCTTGTAGTAACCTAAAATGAAAAAGAATGTGAAAAGGGATATATGTATGTATATGTATGAGTGAAACATTATGTTGTACACCATAAATTGACACAACATTGTAAACTGACTATACTTCAATTTAAAAAAACAGGGGAAAAAGGTTAGAAAAATTTCTGATTTGCAAAAGATACTGTTAAAAAAAATGAAAAGACAAGCCATGGACAAAGAGAAGATATTGGCAAGATAGAAAGGACTTAGATCCAAAATATGTAAGTTGCTCTGCAAATTCAATAATAAGAAATCACCCAACCCAATTAAACATGAAAAGATATTTGAAGACACTTCACCGAAAAATGGATAACAAATAAGCCTAAGAAATGTTGCTCAGCTGTTAGTCATCAGAAAAATGCAAATTAAAATCATAGTGCGATACTGCTACACACCTAATACAAAGGCTAAAATAAAAATATCAGACAATACCAAGAGGTGTTGAGCATGTAAAATGACTAGAATTCCCTCACATTGCTGGTAGGAATGCAAAATGTACAGCAATTTTATGTAAGTCACTGTACAACCCAGAAATGCCACTCCTAGATATTTACCCAAGAGAAATGAAAACATGATCACACAAAAACTTGTGCCTGAATGTCTAGGGCAGCTTTATTTACAATTTCTCTAAACTGAAAACAACTCAAAATGTACTTAATGTTATAAGTGGATAAACAAATTCTGGCACATCCACATGAAGGAATACTATTTTGCAATGAAAAATGAAAAATGCAGCATCCTGGACGAATCTCCAATGCATTCTGCCAAATGAAAGAAGCTAGACTCAAAAGGCTGCATACTGTATGATTCTATTTATATAATGAAATAATATAATGAAATTTTGCCTGGAAAAGGCAAAATACATCAGTAGTTGCCAGGGGCTGAAAACAGAGGGAGAACTTGACTGCTAAGGGGCATAAGGATATTTTTGAAGGTGGCTATATCGGATTCTGGTAGCTGTTACATTATTTATAACCTGATGTATCAAACTCATAGGACTGCACATCAAAAATGGTCAATGTTATATGTAAATTATGCCACATTAAGTAAAATAAATGTAAATACATAAAATCTAGTTAAAATCAAAAGACATGGTATCTAGTTGACATCAAAAGAAAAAATATGCCAAACAATAGGAAAAACATAAGATGTCCAGGGTGTCTCATATTTGACAGTAATTAAAAGTGAACATTTCCAATAACTATCTTTGAACTGAAAATCAGTCTGACATTTGACTGGTTAGAATCCACGTATACCTTTGAAAACTACATATTAGTGATAATTTAAGAATGAAATATGGTGGTGAGTGATCTAAATAGATTAAATTTCATTTAAAAAATGAAATAACTGAAAAAGCCTTTACTTACTAGTTTATTCAGCCTTACAGAAATTATCTGAATAGTTGAACCTCCAAGATGTAGAATGAAAAATATTTACTCAACAAAGGCAAACAGGGAGCAAGAAACATCACCTTTGAGAGCTGCTCTTCAATTGGTCAAGAGATGTTGATTTCTACAAGGCCCTTAGGAACCATTACAACTTCAGTTCTTAGTATCACATGTGATTATTGCTTATTTGCCTTAAGCATTCGATATGTAAATATTTGACATGGTGCCAACACAGTAGATTTGCTTTAGAACCTTACCGATCTTTTTTATATTTCAGTTCTCATAGCTTTCATGATCTAGTTATCCTAATGGAAAAACCTGGTCATTCTGTGGAAGCTCTTTTCCTGCCGTGGTCTTTGATGCTTTCTCTGCTCTCTTGTTGAAAATGCAGAGATCTCAAGTCTAGGAAACGTAATCATGCTTGTCCACAAGGGAGAGAAACACTGCTTTGTGTCTGGGCGATCAGATTTTTAAAAATAAAAAATGGAGAATCAAAGAAGTACAAATGAAACTAACCTGGAAATACCATTTTCACATCTACTAAAATAACAACTGTAAAGCAAACAATAGTTCTCAATCCTGCTGATGCTATGATGAAAGTGGTACTTTTTTGCCCCCTCTAAAATGACCTCATAAATTTCTAAAATTATTTGTGGTGACAAAATGGAGGTGCATCGCAAGATCTTAAAAATGTACATTTGATTAAATACTTCGCCATTTAGGAATTTATCCAAAGGAAATAATTTGATGGGAGAAAAAATGATGCCTGACCCATATATCATCCCAGAATGAGCTAAAATAGCATTAAAATAGAAAACTAATTAAATGTACACCATTAGGGGAATTGGATGAAAGAGAAAAGAAATTTAGTGGAATACGGACTGTGTGGACCTCTTAGGAAACGCGAGAATTAGTTTTAGCTGCCTGTGGTCAGCACCTCTGTTTAATACATCCTGCTTCCTCCCGTATCACCCCTCCAGTGATTCTAAGCACCATTGAACAAACTACACCTTCTGTTATTTTCTTCATTATTTGTCTCCTTTAACCAGAAAGAAAGAAAAAAAAAAACACCTCATGAATGCGGGGATTTCTGCCTGTGTTCTTCACTGTGGTCTTTCCTGTACCTAGAGCAGTTCCTGGCATGTAGCAGACACTACATAAATATTCATTAGAACATTTAAAAAATGATTGAAAAGATGCTCAGTAAGGACTTTTCAGTAGCCTGGTTTTGATTCTGTTTCTGTTTGCTTTTTATTTAGCCGTTTGTTTATTTGTCCATTCAGCAAATGTTTACTAAGCCCTGCTCTGAGACAGACGTCGTTGTTGGTGCTGCTTCGTAGATGTGACCCCGACAGTTGTGATCCTGCAGTTCCATGAGGCTCTCGGTCTGATGGGAAAGAGGGCCCCGGAGCAGGAATCACCAGGAAGAAGAAAGAGGAGGTGAGGGTGCTATAGGGATGTATTCCGTAAGGATTCTCCTCCTTAGGAATTAGAGATCCCCAGAGATCAAAGCCTTGAGGGGTGAAGAGGAGCTCACAAGGGGAGAATGTTCCAGACCTGAACATGTCCAGACACACATGAGAAGGACCGGAGCGCTGAGTCTGGCACGTCCGAAGACAGAAGGGTGGCCAAAGTCGCCGTGGGTGGGGAATGACCATTGCAGGGGGGCACGAACCTGGAGGCACTCAGACTGGAGTGAGGAGGGCCTGGAATCCCCGCTTCAGGACTCAGGGCTCTATCTCGAGAGCGACGGAAAACAGCTGACAAAATAGAGGTGTAAACGGGGAAGTGATCTGGTCACACTTGACGTTTGCAGCGATGGCCGTGGCTGCCGTTTTGAGCGTGGGTAGGAAGCACGGAAGGCAGGAGGCAGCTGGTCCCAGAGGGTTATGCAGGCGTGGGCTGGAGGTCTGGAGTCCCATCCCTGTTTGCTATCTGATCTCCCCTGGATAAAGGAGATCTCTGTTCTGCCTGCCTCATTAAGTGGATCTAAGAGATGCTGTGGTTATAAGGCTGCAGAGCCCTGTCAGTGAGAGGTGTGTTTGATTTCCTCCTCTGACCTGGGAAAGGAGAGCATCAAAATGAGGGAAAGGCTCATATTGTCTCAGTACTTACACGTGAGTCGAGAAATGGGCTTATGTGCACCGACAGTCCATTTGACAATGATGTGAAGATATTTGTTCGAGTCATACTTTCAATTCCTTTGAACAGTTTGCACAGGCTTGGGGACGGGGTACATTAAGGGATCTCTGTTTGCTTGCTTTTACCATATAGATTAATTCGGTAGCAGAAGCAGAGGGTTGCTATGGAATCATGAAAATGCTAATGCTTGCAAAGTTCTTCCCGCTGTCCCACAAACAGGCCTGGGCCCTGGCAGCCAGCCCTGAGGGAGGCGGGTTCCCTGCGGAGTGCCCAGACTCACAGGGGTGGTGCTGGCTGCTGGTCCCCCAGTGCTCCATTTCTAATCAGTTCCTCGCCTGCTGTGGCTTGGGGCCCAGCCTTTCAATTATTCAAGAATTGGAAAGTATTTGTTGCCTGATGCAGGATTTGCTTTCATTCAACAGAACAAAACCCTGATAGGTGAGATTCAGCACCCAGGGCAGCCGGGTCTCTGGATGCATGCGGATTGCCCACAGAGGGGCAGTTGCTCTGGGAAGCGGTTCAGTTCAAACGGCATATAGAGTGGATGGAAGAAGGGAAAAGAGACAAACAGAGGTGAATAGGGAACAACCTGATTTCGCCTTCTGTTCGTCCAGCTAGAAAACTAGAGTGTAAACCTCAGGCTGTGGCTTTGAGGAAAGAGGCAGCTTTGCAGGGCGTGGGGAGGGGCTCTGGGTTCCAGCCTACATTCTGCTGCTAACCTGCCCTGTGTCTTTGGGAAATCGTCTCTCCTCTTTGGGCCATCGTTTCTTCACCTGTGAAATGAGAAAGGTGGATTATTTGATCTCTAAGATTCCTGCACTTCTGTGACTTTTAATTTCAGAGTGATTTGCAGGTCTTGGTGCCAGCCATTACCAGATCCTCTGCTTCGGATGGAGCTGGTGCTGTTACAGTCTCTTCTGTTCCTTTCATCCATTTAAGTCTTTATTCTTACTTTCAGCAAAAGGGGATTTGCTGTGTACTTGAGGGAACCCCTTCAGGGGATCCCAGACTGTGATCCTTGTGTGGTGTAGCCAGATTATGGAGGGCAAGTTAGGCACCACTCTACTTTGGCTTTCTCACTAGACCCTGAAGACAGGTTTGCTTCTAGAAGCCATGAGACCTATTCATTTATGCATCTATTCATTCAACAAACATTTACTGAGCATAAGCTATAAGCCAGGTGGCATATAAGGGAAAATCAAAACTGAAGCAGGTAAAGGGCATGCCCTCAAATTCAGATGGTTTTCTCGATGAGACTGATATGTAATAGGAAAGCTATAGTGCACAGGGATAAATGCCAAGTAATTTTTACATGCACAGGGCATTATGAGCGCACACAGGAGAAGCACCTTTGAACATTAACCAGAGAGTCAAGGAGCACCTCTCAGAGGGGCTGACATCTTAGTGAAGAATGATTTTTAAGCAGTTGCATTACTTTATTCTGGTTATGAAAGTTACATACATATATATGTATATATGGGATATATATATATATAATTATGAAATACATTTGTATGAAATAAAATTCAGAACATTCAGAAAAGAAAATAAAGACAAACAGTTATCCCGTAATTTGAGATAATAACTAATTTAATTTTGGTAAATCTCTTCAAGGTATTTTTGATGTCTTTTCTTTCATTTTATTGTTTTGACAAAAATCACACTACAAATACTGCTTTCTCAGTTGCATATTCATTTGGTAATATATCATTGACTTTCTCATATCAATAAATAAAATTCTACTTTGTTATTTTTTAAGACTTGTATATCATATTCTATTGTATAGATGCTCTGTTATTCTTTTAAATAATAGCCTATTGACAGATTTGCATTATTCCAATTTTTCAATATTATAAAAAACATTGTGATAAACACGTTTTTCCTTAGGACAGATTCTTAGAAGTTGGTTATGTAGGTGAAAGGGTATTTTAAATATTGACACACATTGCCAGATTGTGCTTTAGCTTAAAAGCAAAATTGTGTGTGTGTGTGTGTGTGTGTGCACCCACACAATTACATGTATTTGCTTTAGCTAATACTGAGTACCTACTCTATGCCAGATAGTAGACTAAGCAGTTTAGATACACTATCTGATTTAATGATTGTCATACTTTAGCCCCAGCTGAAGTCCATACACTACTAATAGCAGATACTTCAAGAAAAATAATCCAGAAACACTTTTATTTGCCAACCCAAGACATTTGGTAGTATTTGGAAGCAGAAGAGTAAGCATATACAATATGAAAGAGATAATAAAGTCTTAGTTTTAGCCTTGTTAAGAAGTCTGTCTTAGCCATCGGTCAGAGTCCATGACCTATAAACTTAAATCCAAGCGGAGAAGTTGCCCAGCTGGAGTCTGTGATCGCTGCCGTGATGAACATCCCACCTTGCAGCCGTCCATGACATTTTTAGTTCTCTGTACCAGCTCATGTTGCCGCAGTGTTTCCTAGAAATAGGGAGCCCCTACGAGGGTCCTGGTCTATGCCTGTTGTCTCAAAGTAATGATTGATACGGCGCCCTTTCATTCTCGAAAGTGTCCCACGTTGGAAAATAACTGACTTTGGGGAAATTCGTCACAGACTGGGCAGGGATTGCTGAGGCAAGTTTGAGCCATGGGGCCACCAACTGCTGTCCTTGCCTGACACTGTAGGGCAGGCATCTCTGCCCCTAACTTTCTAAAGAAGCTCGCCTCCCGTATCACGTACTAGGATATCTGGTCACCTCACTTATCCAAATACTAGCTGAGAGTCAGAGAAAAGGCAAAAATATCTGTAGTAAGAATTAGTGGGTCCTGTAATAACATTCTTGCCTCTGTCTATGGGAAACATTCTAATTCACAACCTGTCTTCTCTTATTTTACTCACCAGCCCCCAAAAGCTTGGGTATCATACTTCTTACCCACAGGTGATTAAAAGGAGAGGTTAGAAAGAGAAAGAACGCCTAAGGCAAACACTTTGGCGTGAGCAAGACAGTGGAAGTGGCTTACATGAGAGGGAAAAGGCAGCTTAAAAGGCAATGCAAAGACTGCTGTTGCAGGTACAAACAACCCAGCCCACTGCAGAGAGTCAATGCCGAGGACAGCAGTGGGAGTTCATAATGATGACCTTGAATTATCAAGAAAATGTTCCATTGCCTTGGGAAGGGTGCATTTAAGAAGGAGGGGAGTAGCACAAAACAGTTTAGATGAGATCTCTATCCAAAATACTTCCTTTTACTGAAATTAGACTTATAAGAGGTAAATCTTCAGTAAGCCATACACCTTGATTATATGGAATGACTTAACCTTCTGAGAGTCCTGGGCAGCTGAGAATGTAATATATAAGCAAAGGCACTGGAGTCATCTTTCCTGCCCTCAATGACTTCAAATTCTTGTTGATAATATAAGTTTTCCCCCTTCCTAGATGTCTTTGCATTTTAATAAAGGACTTTAAAAGACCAAAATTACTTACAATCCTAAGGGAGTCGAGTTCCAGTAATATAATTCTAGGCACTGAGAACACAGGAGGAAAGTTTTAGGATGTTTCTGGTTATCTATGCAGAGAGCGTTGGCTTTTCTTTTGTAAAGATCGTCCTGTAAAAAGAGTGATCCTCTCCACCACTTGTGTCCTTGGGAATCATAAACTCCCGCCTCTGAGGGACCCTCTGGACCTGAACCATGTCCATGAGACAAAGAGCAGAGTGAGTCAGACAAGCTCATGGCCAAGCAGAAGGCGAAAGAGTAGCCAGAGCAACTGAGGGACTACTTGGTACTAATCAGAAACAAAATTAGGGATCATTTAAGTGCCAAGTGGTCCTAAGCTCTCAGAGTCAAGACTGTTGAGGTTCTGAGAATTCCGGCTGGATGTCCAGGAGGTTTCTGTTCATTAATTCCATCCATGGCAATGTTTAAAGTGTCATGAGACTTCAGTGCAAAAAATTAGAAGACTTGGAGCTTTTAATAGTTATCCCCAGGAGATGCCAAGTCTAAGACAGAGGATGGAGGGCACTGGAAGCAGAGAGGTGGGTGAGGCCGCCTCCACTGCTTTGTTGCTGCGGGCATTGGTGCCCCTGCAGGAGACTCCGCCTGGAATGTGGAGGAGCTCCCTGATTGGATAAAGGTTCTAGATGGGAGGAGGCGCCCCTCCCGCCCGCCCCCTTCAGAGGAGCCGTCTACCCGGTTATGGAAACCGTCTACTCAACACAGAGTAGCTCTGAGTCACTTAAATCTGCTGAACTGTGAGGCATTCCTGCACGTTGTTCCCCAAAGTAATTCAGATGTACATTTCCCTGGTGGAGGCTTGGTGCCCCTCCCAGAGTGTCACTACCCAACCCGTACTCTTTCTCTGGGAGGGAGAACTTTAGTCTCTGATACAGGCAGGAAAGACAGCCACTCAGGTCCACACAGCCTTCCCTTGACTCCACTTGGCATTTCTATGGTTTGGGAGTGCTGGTTTCTCACTGTAACACTGGAGGAAAAAAAGCAGTGAGGCTCTAAGTAGCTGATTCAGATCTTCAGGGACCAAATAAACCTCACCATCCCAGTCGGGCTGAGACAGGGAGAGTGGCTGCTTCCTGTGCAAAGCACAATCTTCTTTATCAAAAATAATATCTATTTCTTTATCCAAAATAATATCTGTTTTCTGTGGTTCTTTATTAAAAATAATATCTATTTTCCGTGGCTAGTATTTATAATTCCATCACTAGAGGCTTATTTTCTATAAGTGAGTTCACCTTCTGTGCCTCATCAGTCATTGTACTGCTCGTGTGCTGGAGGAGGAGGGACGGGGTGGGCCGAGGGACGATGGGGACCTTGGCCCCTGAGAACTGGGAGGACACACTGTAGTGCAGGAGGAAGGCAGACCACAGCAAAGGCACATTTCACTTCCTGGCTTCTGGTGTGTGTCTCACATAGGTCCTGTCCCTTTACCCCATGTGTTAGGAGCTGAACTGTGTTGAAGTCCTCACCCCAGTGCTTCAGAATGGGACTGTACTCAGACACAGAGTCTTGAAAGAAGGACTGTAATTAAGTTAAATTAGGTCATTAGGATGGGCCTTAACTCCATCTGGCTGGAGTCCTTATAAGAAGAGGAAATTAGGACACAGACGTGAACAGAGAGAAGACTACATGAAGACACAAAGGGAAGACAGCCACCTGCCCGTCAAGGAGAGAGACCTTAAAAGGGGCCACCCTGCCAACACCCTGATCTCAGACTTCTTGCCTCCAGAGCTGAGAGAAAACACACTTTCGTTGTTTAAGGCACCCCATGTCGGGTACCTGGTTATGGCGGCCATGGCAGATGGGTATACTTTGCATCATGTCACCTCTGCCCCACCGACTCACCCCCTCAAGCCCTATTGTCATCATGGTCTCCTGGGAATAAGCTTGCTGAGTTTGGTTTAGCTTACGCCACCTGGCCTCGAAGTACTACCTTAAGATCTAAAGAGAATCATATCTGCGGCTTTACTCAACAAAGCCAAATTTAAAATATTTTAGATTTTATCTAGTTCAGGCTTTCACAAGTCAGTTACTGTGAATAGTAACAAGGAAGCTCAGGAAATTAAGGGAAGAGAGGCTAACCCTAGAGTGGAGGCTCCAGAAATAGTGTTTTTTTAATTTTAATTTTTTTCATTGAAATATAGTTGATTTATAATATGACATTAGTTTCAGGTGTACAACAGTGATTCCGTGTTTTTATAGATTATACTCCATTAAAAATTATTATAAAATAATGGGTCCATTTCCCTGTGCTGTACAATGGATTCTGGTAGCTTATTTATTTTGAACATAGTTGTTCGAACCTCTTAATTTCTTACCCCCAGCTTTCCCCTGCCTACTTCCCTCTCCCTGCTGGTAACCACTAGTTTATTCTCTATATCTGTGAGTCTATTTCTGTTTTGTTATATTCACTCCTTTGTTTTATTTTTTAGATTCCACATGTGATAACATATAGCTTTGTCCTTCTCTGTCACTTGACTTTCTTCACTAAGCATACCCTCTACGTCCATTCATGTTGTTGCAAATGGCAGAATTTCATTCTTTTTTATTAAATGGCTGAGTAATATTCCATTTTATATATATATGTATATATATATATACATATGTATATATATATGACATCTTCTCTATCCTTTTGCTTGTCGATGGGCACTTAGGTTGCTTCCATATCTTGGCTATTGTAAATAATGCTGCTTTGAACAGTGGGGTGCATGTTACCTTTTTGAATTAGTGTTTTCATTTGCTTCGGCTATACTCAACAAGGGAATTCCTGGATCATATGAAAAAGGACCACAAATAACAAATGTGGAGAAAGGGGAGGCCGGTTGTACACTGTTGGTGGGGATGTAAATCTGTGCAGCCACTATGGGGAACAGAAACAGTTTTTGATGTTTCTTAAAGAGTCATTTACCACCATCCTCAGGCCAGAAAAAAACCTCGGTCAAGATCTGGGATGTAGAGGGTTCTAGAGTTCCAAGGACGGGGTCATGGTTAATTAGACTGCTCACCCACCTCCAACAGGAAGCAGGGTGTACTATCTCCCAGGGAGAGCCCAGGCTGAGACTATCAGCTGCCACTCAGTGCATGTACACACACACACACACACACACACACACACACACACACACACACACACACACACACACACACACGATGGTAGAAGACTGGGGCCTGCCTGAACAAAGGATTTTCCAGGGGAGGAAGATTCTCTCAGTGGAAGGAGCGTTCAAAACAAGGACTGGGAGACGGGAGTCAGGAAAAACAAAACTATCAGCCTGATTTTACTCCCCAAAGCTGGGATGTTGCACTGAGCTAGTTCAGCCCTCAATCAAAGAGGCTCCTGTCCCCTGTCACACCTGCCTGTCCTTCCCAAGATATGAGCTGGGACAGCCCACCCCTCTGTGTAAGTCATTTCCACATCACCTACACTTTCCAATCAGCTCTTGCTCTATTAGATTGCTTCCTGGAAGAGCCAAATAATAAAACTCACCGGTCAGCCATTCTTTATTCTGTTATACACCAAACTGATTTTTTAAGTTCAGAACCAATAAAACTGTGATGGCGAAGAACGGATATAGATTTCTCGTTCTCACACACTCATATATAATAATAATAAAACTTTATTAAACAAGAGACATGTTGTTTCAGGGAATTTTTCTTTCCCCTCTCCAGTGCCCCAAGGCTAAAATATATACAATCTTATTAACTTCCTGGAAGAAATACTCCATTCCCTTGGTGAAAACGCTGAGCATTCATCTTGGACCTGGAAAATGAGACAAGCCCTTGACATGAAGGTACGTGGGCCACAGTTCCATCCAGGGAAATCAAGGGGAGTGAGTCTGATTAGGAGATGCTCAAGGAATCTGCATGGAGTCCAAGAAACCTCCTGGAATAGATCCTCCTGAATGTACCAGGTCAGAAAGAAAAGGACAGAGGATCTGATAGCAGGTTGGCAGAGCAGGGCATGCCAGGTCAGAGTAGACTGGACAGACCATTGACTGGTCTGACTCCTGGTCAGTCAGTCAGGGGGCTGAGGCTCAGACAGGAGCTGTCAGTTACCCAATCATGCAGAATACACGGTAGAGCTGGAAACAAGCCTGGCGTCCTGCTCAGGGTTCCTGCTCCCCTTGCCTTCCAGCCTGCAATCTTGGATTGATCTCCAACAAAGGAACTTCAGCTGTGATTCCCCATCTCCTTGAGATGGCTTCATGCTCCTCAGGGAGATCAGGGCCATGTCTCCACCTCCCATCTCTGCCTATAGCAAAAGCAAGAGCCACACTGCTCACATGGGCTGGAGAGTCCATCAGTATCAGCCAAAATCTGCTGAAGAATAAATGACCTCCACCAGGGCTCAGAAATCTAATTCCTGTAATTCCACCTGAACATGGACAGTGTACTGTCCAGGGAGGGCTGACAATCAGTGAGCATCTGGAAGCTGCCAGATGGTGGGAGCTGCAGCCCCATTTTCTCAGCCCAGAGCCTTTAGGTGACTAGAAGACAAGAAGCAGGCTGTCACCACGGGTGTCCAGATTAGAAATTTGTTGATTGCTCAAGCAAGACTGCCTCTGGACAGCCAGGAGTTTATGACTAGTTTGCAATGAGGGAGGAGGGGATCCAGGACTGACTGATGGGGTGATGAGCACTGAGAGACAACATGAGGAACCCAGGCACAGACTGGACCCGAGGCAGAGGAGCACCCCGACGTGTGACGCTCAGCCCCACCCAGCTCCACACAGCGGCATCAGGATTTAGGGTGGTCTTCATGAGTGAGTGGCTGTTCTGGACACTGAACTGAATCCCTCCAAATGTCACACATTGAAGTCCTAACCCGTGATGTGACTGTATTTGGAGATAGTTCCTTTAAGGAGGTAATTCAGATTAAATGAAGTCATAAGGGCAGGGCTCTCATCTGATAGGACTGGTGTCCTTATAAGAAAAGAAGGTGACACAAGACCTCCCTCTCTCTCCACACGTGTACACAGGGAAGAGGCCACGCAAGGACATAGCAAGAAGACGTCGGAGGACAGCCAAGGAGAGGCGCTCACACGAAACCTGCTGGCACTTGATGGTGGGCTTGTAATCTCTAGAACTATAAGGAAATAAATTTCTGTCATTCAAGCCCCCTAGTCTGTGATATTTCGTTGTGACACTCTGAGCAGAGTAATACAGGGCTGAGAGTGTCAAGCAGGCAAAGTGCAGAAGTTAGGACGGTGCGCAGGGACCCAGGGCTCAGGTTCCCACCGCCCGCTCCAGATGGGCGAGCAACCTCTAACTGTCAGAATGGAACAGCCCTGGGCTCTTCGAGCACTGATCGTCTGTGTTTACCCTTTTCTGAGGTCCTGAAAACAAGAGATGACCCTGTCATTAGCTGGGGTCTTTCCAGGAAAATGGAAAAAGGATCAAATGACCTTTAATGGCCTCTGTGGCCATAGGACTCTGACTGGAGGAGCAGCACATGCAGAGATTTATCACTGAACATGTTTTACTGGGATTTTCAAACTGCAAGATTAGAAATCTTCCAGCTCCAGAGAAAAGGCGCAACAATGGGCTAATTATAAATGAGTGTGTGTGTGTGTGTGTGTGTGTGTGTGTGTGTGTGTGTGTGTATAATATTCCAGATACTGTTCAGTGAAACCAAATCAGATGACTGTCAAATACACATGGTGTGCAGCAGAAGTTGTCTGGATATTTTCACTGTGGAGGAGATAGTTCTAACACACACAGCAGCTGCAAAGCATCGGACAGATTCTCTTGCCCACCCTCCTGCCCACCGTTAGCGGAGTTAATTTGTAAGGAGCCTCCCAGTGTTTCTCTGACTCCCACTCTGGCAGTATCAACACTCTGGCTCTGGACCCTGGGTCCAGCTTCTGCCCTCAGCCTAACTGTATGCTGCATTTTCCTATAGATCCCATTTAAGATCAAACGCCAAATGTTGTCCAAGCAATTACTGTGCACTCAGCTCTGTGCTTTGCTGAACCATGAGACAGTGACTCAAATGACCTCTGAGGTTACTTCCAACCTGAGAAACAGCGGGGGCTGCTGGGACGTGCATCTTCAGAGTTTCCGGGTAGTGCTCCCTCCAGGAAGCCTTCCTGATTGCACAGATAATGGAAGTGTTCATTAAGCCCCATTAATTCCCTTTCCTCCTGCATCCAGAGATAGGCTCTATGTTCCTACCTTGCCTTCATGGAAATGCGGTCCATGTGACAATAGGATATGGGTGGGAGTGATGTATATCACTTCCAAATTTAGCTCCTAACACATTTGCTTTTTGCTTGTCTGCCAGTGGGAGAGGGAGAAATCAGAATAAAATGCCACGGTCCTAGGAGATGGTGGGGTTCTGCTACATCCGAAAAGCCTGGATCCCTTAATGACTACATGGAGTACAACCCCCTCGGCCCGCTGCCACATTAGACTGTGAGAAGAGTGAGAAATAAGTCTGTATTGTGGCTAAGCCACTGAGAGTTGGAAGTTGTTACAGCACTTGGCCTGTCTAGACTAACACTCTGATTGACTCTCAAGTTGAAAATAATAGTCATTTGATCTCTAATTGAACATGGCCTTGGATAGGAGCTCGTGAACATGTGCAGACAATTTTACAATATGGTAGAGCTATGAACACAAACCATGTCTGACCCCAGAAAGCATGCTCCCAATCTGTTTCTTCAGCATCCTGGGCTACAGTGGTGACCATCAGGTGCAGTGCGAGAGTATAAAAGAAAACCTAACTTGTAATATTCCGGAGCTGGAGAAAACTTGCATGTGGGCATTTTTGTTGCATAGTCTGAATTGTGTCCATCCTTACTTCACCAACATGTCCCTGTCTCATCCTCCCAAAGAAACTGTAGCAGCCTTTAAGCCGGATCTAGGACCATCTCTGGGGTAACTGTTTGACTGAAGGCAGCAAGCTCAGGGAGTAGGCTTTTAGAGATGGCCCTGCTGGCACTTTCCAAAACCTGCTGGGCTGCCCAGAGCTTAGCTGAGATGTAGGGGTCTGAAGTAGTGACAGGCTAGGTCTGCAACCCACAGGCACACGGAGGTAAAGAGGCCAGCAAGGCCTAGGGCTGGGAGCCCAGGACTCCTGAGATGCATGTCTCCTATTTAATTGGAAGATTCACAAATAAAGAAATTCATCGCATTCTCAATTCTTCCCTTGCTCAGCTGCCTCCCCGGCCTGGGCCTTGGCATCGCTTGCCTTGGTATAAATCACATTCCATCAGCGTAACTGCAGGGCTTCGGGGATCATTTTGGAATACGAGGATGTTAATGCACTGGGTTTTGTTCCAAGCAGTGAGCCACCTCCTGGGATTTGGGAATCTCTCTTTTAAATCCAGATAGCACTAATGAGCTAGTAAGGGCTCCTCACCCCCTTGACTCATTCCCTCACTCCTGGGGCTGCTCTGAGCATTGGGATCAGCCACATCTGGACTGCACTGCAGTCAGCCATGGGCCCGATACAGCCACCTGCTTTCAACGGAACTGATTCCACCAGAGGCGTTCAAACTGCGATTTAGTCTTCCATTTTTTTTAAATTACTAACTACAACCTAAAAATGCTTTGCACATGTAGGCTCTGGGTAAATGTTTGTGGTTATTTTGATGACAATTGCACTGGTGTCCTTAATCACAGGGTTTGGCCAGGAGCTGTTCTCTAATTCTACCCCCAAGTGAAAATTATGTTGGGATGCCAGGGAGATGGTTCTTGATGGGGAGGGAAATAAGGGAAGATGCATGCTGACAATCAGTTGAGTATCATTTAGCTTTAGAGCCAGGCCAGTCTCTCAGTGCCCCAAATTTATATTTACCCACTCAAAAAAGCCTCCTCTGACTCTTACTATGCATCGCGGGTGGTTCTACGTGGTTTACAAACGTTTACCAATTTAACGTTCAGTACTATTTTTTTAATGCCCATTTTACAATAAGAAACCTAGGACGACAGAGAGGTTAGGGAACTTGTCCAAAGTCACAGAGCGAGTAAATGGCGGCACCGGGATTTGAAGCTGCAAAGTCTGGCTCCAGGGACCACATACTTCTGCATGTGCCGTCCTCCCCTCTATGGTTGCCCCTGCCTCTGGAACTTAGTTCACATGGTTCAGACTATCTGGAAGGTTGTTTCTGTTCTTCCTCCAGATTCTAGCACATCTTTTAAGACTGACTTACAACCTAGTTCCCATAGGCGGCCTTCCTGAGCATTCTGCACCGTGATCCAACGGCACAGTGGTTCAGGGTATGGCATTTGGAGTGAAGCTGTGTAAGTGTAGTTCAAAACCCAGCCCTGCCACTTACTCGCTTTACCATCTTGAGTAAGGTGCTTAACTTCCACGAGCAAAGTTTCCTTATCTGTAAAATGGAGATGGATACTGCACCCACCTCGCAGGGCTGTTGAGAGGATTAACTGAATTACCATATCCAGAATACTTAGAACAGTGCTTGATTTACGCTGTGCGCTATTTACACATTTTATTATTATTATTATTATTATTATTATTATTATTATTATTATTAGCATTATTATTATTATTATTAGCATTATTTCTAATTCTCTCCTACTGCTGTTGTGTCCCAGTTCTGCTTTCCTTATCTGATCCTTATTTCCTGTGAAGTTGCAGGGTTCTCTACTCCTCTTGAAGATGACTTGTGTGTGTGTATATATATATATATATATATATATATTTAATTCTCTGACATATAGATTAGTATACTGCAGAGAGTAAACATTTGTTTAATAGCCATAATTAATTAATGAGTTGAAGTTACCTAAAAGTATATCTCTAGCCACGAGGATTCAAAAATCTTTTTCTCTCTCCCACTGAACTGCATATAAATATAAGACACGGGTCTTCATTGATTTTGGAGTGGTGCATCTCGGGGGAAATTGAATCTGTCATAGTTTAAAGAAAAAAACAACTTCTAAATAAATTAAGAGATGGATTCATTGACTGGGGTGGTCTAGTTAAAATAGGG